CTTCCATATCCTACTGCTTCCATATCCTACTCCACCCTTGCCTGTTAAAAATTATTTTTTATATTTCGGCTGTTGATTTTAATAGTAATTTTAAACTTTTAGAAGAAAGTAATTTTGAAAACACATAAAACATATAGTAGTATTCCGTTATGTAGAAACACCACCTTTTATTTATACATTCACCCATTTATGGACATTTGGGTTGTGGGTTTTCAGTTTTGAGTATTTGTGAATAGATTTTTTTTTTAAAGATTATTTATTTATTAGAGAGAAGAGAGCACGAGTAGGGGGGGTTGGGAGGAGCAGAGGGAGAGGAAGATCTAGACTCCGCACTGAGTAGGGAGCCTCATCAGCGGGTCTCCATCCTAGGACTCCAGGATCGTGACCTGAGCCAGAGGCAAAGGCAGACGCTTAACCAACTCAGCCACCCAGGTGCCCTATTTTATTTTTTTAATTTTGTTTTGTTTTTTTGAGAGAGAGCATGCAGAGCCCTACATGGGGCTCGATCCCACGACCCTGAGATCATGATCTGAGCCGAAATACAAGAGTTGGACACTCAACTGACTGAGCCACCCAGTTGTCCAGTCAATAGATTTTTGTGTGGACATAGGTTTGCATTTCTCTGGGGTAGATACCTGGGAGTAAGATTGTTAGGTGGTGCGTGCTTAACTTTATAAGAAATTGCCAAACTGTTTTCTAAACTGGTTTGTACCGTTTTGGGTTGCCACAGCCATGTATTAGAGTTCCAGTTCTGCATCCTCAGCAGTGTTTTTTAGCCATTCTGTTAGGTATGTAGTAGTGTTTCATGATTTCAATATTCATTTCCCTAATGATTTATGATGCACGTCCTTTTGTGTATTTATGTTGTCTTCTGTATATCCTACCCAGAAGTGTCCAAGTCTTTTGCTTACTATTTTCTTACTGTTGACTTTTGAGTGTATAGATACAAGTCCTTCGTCAGATATGTGATTTGCTAATATTTTCTCTAATTTGTAGCTTGTCTTTTCATTCTCTTAACAGTGTCTTTAACAGAGCAAAAGGTTTTAATTTCAATGAAGTCCAGTTTTTAATGGATCATGATTTAATATGTGTAAGAATTTTCTGCCTAATCCCAGGTCATGAAGATTTTCTTGTTTCTTTTTAATTTTTTTAAGTTTCTTGTTTTATATTTAGAGCTATGATCCATTTTGATGTAGATTTTTAATAAGATACGAGGTTTAGTTTGGTGTTCATGTTTTTGCTCATGGATATCTAATTGTTTGAATATCCTTTGTTGAAAAGATATCCTTTCTCCATTGAATTGCCTTTGCACCTTTATCAAAAATCATTTGGCTATATATATGAGTATGTTTTTGGACTCTTAGTTCAGATCCAGTGATAAGTCTTGAAATCAGGAAATCAGGGTAGCCTGAATTTTCCGATTTTGTTCTTTTTCAAAATTGTTGCAGCTATTCTCGTGCATTTGTCTTTACTACTTTGCATTTACTATTAAGGGAGTAAAATAACATATTTCATTCTCTCATTTCCTAACCAGAATCTATTTTTGATGCCATGTGTATGTGTTTGTGGTTATTTTGGTCAACACAGTGACTTTTTTATCTTGCTTACATTTGGGGAGGGGGGTCTTAATACATGGCCAGAATAATCTGGGTCCATTACATTCTTTATACATAGGAAAGTAATAACATAGAAAACCTATCAATGTTAGAATCAGCTTGTTGATGTGTATCAGAAAACTTCTGCTTTTTGATTGGGCCTCCCTTGAATCTATAGAATAGTTTGGGAAAAATTGTCATCTTCACATTATTGTGTCTTCCATTCTATGAACATAATACATCTCTCCATTTATTTAGCTCTTCTTTGATTTCTTTGATCAGTGTTTTGTGTAGTTTTCAGCACACTAGTCCTGTACCTGTTTTGTTAGATTTATACATAAATTATTATTTTTTAGATTCCTTGGGATTTTTCATTGTTAGCAATCATGTTGTCTGCAGATAGAAAGTTCTATTTTATTTATGAAATCACTTTCTTTTTTTTTTTAAGATTTTATTTATTTATTTGAGAGAAAGAATGAGAGATAGAGAGCACGAGAGGGAAGAGGGCCAGAGGGAGAGGCAGACTCCCCGCTGAGCAGGGAGCCCGATGCGGGACTCGATCCCAGGACTCCAGGATCATGACCTGAGCCGAAGGCAGTCGCTTA